ATACCTGGAGTACTTCTCCTGTCTTATCCAGTGTCCTGTGTGAATTTAAGTATGCTCTCTCTAATTCTCTCGTTCTCTCTTTCTCTCTGAGAACCTGAGCCCTAGGACCATACGTCAGGACTACCGGGCATGATGACACCCTGCTGCCCCCAGTCCGCCTGGCCTTGCTGCTATTCCAGTTTCAACTGTTCTGCCTGCGGCTACGAAACCCCTACCTGTCCCAGACCTGCTGTTTTCAACTCTAAATGATCGGCTATGAAAAGCCAACTGAGAGACCTGAGCCCTAGGACCATACGTCCACCACACTATTTACCAAGAGAATTTTCATCTATACTTTTCGTAGCTATCTATTTACCACCACAAACCGATGCTGGCATTAAGACTGCACTCAACGAGCTGTATAAGGCCATAAGCAAACAAGAAAATGCTTATCCAGAGGCGGCACTCCTAGTGGCCGGGGACTTTAATGCAGGGAAACCTAAATCCATTTGACCAAATTTCCACCAGCATGTTAAATGTGCAACCAGAGGAAAACAAATTCTAGACCACCTTTACTCCACACACAGAGACGCGTACAAAGCTCTCCCTCGCCCTCCATTTGGCATATCTGACCATAATTCTATCTTCCTGATTCCTGCTTACAAGCAAAAACTAAAGCAGGAAGTACCAGTGACTCGCTCAATACAGAAGTGGTCAGATGACGCAGATGCTAAGCTACAGGACTGTATTGCTAGCACAGACTGGAATATGTTCCGGGATTCTTCCGACGGCATTGAGGAGTACACCACATCAGTCACTGGCTTCATCAATAAGTGCATCGATAACATCGTCCCCACATTGACTGTACGTACATACCCCAACCAGAAGCCATGGATTACAGGCAACATCCGCACTGAGCTAAAGGGTAGAGCTGCCGCTTTCAAGGAGCGCGACTCTAACCCGGACGCTTATAAGAAATCCCGCAATGCCCTCCGGCGAACCATCAAACAGGAAAACCGTCAATACAGGACTAAGATTGCATTGTACTACACAGGCTCCGACGCTCGTTAGATGTGGCAGGGCTTGCAAACTATTTGCATTGTATTCGGCGCATGTGACAAATAACTTGTTATTTTATTTGATAAAAATATAAAAGTATTCACACCCTTTGACTTTTTCCACATTTTGTTGTGTTACAGCCTGAATTTAAAATGGATTAGTAAAATTAGTAAAACATCTAAAATATCTTCAGCCAATGAGAATTAAACCCCTTTGTTATGGCAAGCCTAAATAAGTTCAGGAGTAAATATTTGCTTAACAAGTCACATAATAAGTTGCATGGACTCACTCTGTGTAAAATAATAGTGTTTAATATAATTTTTTTATGACTACCTTATCTCTGTACATTTTACATTTAAGTCATTTAGCAGACGCTCTTATCCAGAGCGACTTACAGGAGCAATTAGGGTTCAGTGCCTTGCTCAAGGGCACATCGACAGATTTTTCACCTAGTCAGCTCGGGGATTAGAACCAGCGACCTTTCGGTTACTGGCACAACGCTCTTAACCACTAAGCTACCTGTACCCCACACATGCAATTATCTGTAAGGTCCCTTAGTCGAGCAGTGAATTTCGAACACAGATTAAACCATAAAGACCAGGGAGGTTTTCCAATACCTCGCAAAGAAAGACACCTATTGGTAGATGGGTAAAAAAAAAAGCAGATATTGAATATCCCTTTTGGCATGGTGAAGTTATTAATTACACTTTGGATGGTGTATCAATACACCCAGTCACTACAAAGATACAAGCATCCTTCCTAACTCATTTACCGGAGATGAAGGAAACCGCTCAGGGATTTTACCATGAGGTCAATGGTGACTTTAAAACGGTTACAGAGTTTAATGGCTGTGATATGTGAAAACTGAGGATGGATCAACAACATTGTAGTTACTCCACAATACTAACCTAAATGACAGAGTGAAAAGAAGGAAGCCTGTACATAATAAAAACATTCCAAAACATGCATCCTGTTTGCAATAAGGCACTAAAGTAAAACTGAAAAAAATGTGGCAAAGAAATTAACTTTATGTTCTGAATACAAAGAGTTATGTTTGGGGCAAATCCAACACAACACATCACTGAGTACCACTCTTCGTATTTTCAAGCATGGTGGTGGCAGCATCATGTTATGGGTATGCTTGTCTTTTTTTACAATAAAAGGAAACGGAATAGAGCTAAGCACAGGCAAGATCCTAGAGGAAAACCTGTTTCAGTCTGCTTTCCAACAGACACTGGGAGACAAATTACCTTTCAACCAGACAATAACCTAAAACACAATATAAACTGGAGTTGCTTACCAAGACAACATTGAATGTTCCTGAGTGGCCTAGTTACAGTTCTGACATAAATCGGCTTGAAAATCTATGGCAAGACATGAAAATGGCTGTCTAGCAATGATCAACAACCATCTTGACAGAGCTTGAAGAATTTCAAAAAGAATAATGTGCAAATATTTTACAATCCAGGTGTGCAAAGCTCTTAGAGACGTACCCAGAAAGACTCAAAGCTGTAATCGCTGCCAAAAGTGATTTTAACATGTATTGTCTCAGGGGTGTTCAATACTTATGTAAATGAGATATTTTTGTATTTCATTTTCAATAAATGTGCAACATTTTCTAAAAACATATTTTCACTTCGTTATTATGGGGTATTTATTGTGTGTAGATGGGTGAGACAAGTCAAGGGGTATGAATACTTTCTGAAGGTACTGTACACGTAACAAAAGTATGCAAGAGGTGGAGCTTTCTTTGCATAGTCCTATTGTTACATGTATGAACAAGAGTCTGCTGAACTAACTAACCTGTATATCATGTGCATTGTTCAATGTGTGTAATGCTATATGTATGTTTTATGTCTTTACCCTTTTACCCTGTAAATTGTTAAAAGTGGATTTATATATATATATATATATATGTGTGCGTTTTATATATTTTATACATTTGTCTTAAATAATATCATAGGCACTACAGAGTGATATTGTTGGGGAATGTTACTAATACGCTAATGAAGAGGAATTTATCTTTCACGCACACACACACAGCCAAGAGGGTCGAGGTTGGATGGACCACACACACACACACACACACACACACACACACACACACACACACACACACACACTACAGGCTCTCCTAGGTTGAACATGCAAGGAATGTACTAATAATGACATATTAATTGAGTAACTATTGACTGTTACCTATGATAACCAACTAATAACCAGGCTGATGAGGCCTTAAGAACACATCCTTGTTTAAACTTTAATAACCAGCATAATACTGAAAACACTAACACTTAGTAAGAAAAGCAACATGTATGCTGAGACAGAAAGGCAAATTGGCTGAAATAGGCAGAAAGCAATATAAACATGATGACAGATGACTGATATGCAATTCGCTTACAATGGTGGTTCTTAGAGAATGTATCTCTTCACATCTTTTTCCAAGAGCAAACAGACTTGTTGTGAAGATGATTTATAATACTCTGTTGTTCGTTATCGAGCAGCTGCAAAATAGTTTGTCTTATTCGTCAAATCCCATGGTTTAGCCTGCCTATTATCAGCTGCAAGATTGCTTCGTTTCTATGATACATTTTCTAGACATTATTCATCTTCTCCTGTCTATGTACAAACGTCATTTATATTTTGCATATGCCTACCCACCATTCTATATTAACCAATCAAGTATCTGTCTTGTGTGACAATCAAAGAAGGAACTCTCTAGGACAGGGCTAGTCAACTGGCGGTCCGCGAGCCAGATCCAGCCCGTTTATTAATTTAGACTGGCACTTGGTGGTTGTCTATAGTTTGGTTTATAGTGGGTTTTAGCGGTTTCTAGCGCCCATGTGGCATTCTGATTTATTTTTTCTTCATATGGATTTGTCTCTAGCGTTTGAACAGTTTAAGCTACAAAATATTCCTTTAAGCTACAAAATAAAGCTACGACTCTCAGGAACACCTACATGCCTTCTGTTTTCCTCTCTGATGCTCACAAGGACTTGTTAGAAGGGAGGGTGACAATGCAACTAATGACTGAGGGAAATTAATTCAAAGCATGCTTCCTTCAGACTGGAATTTGGCATTACCTGATTTGACATATCTTTGTGTTATTTATTGAGATGCTTAGTTTTCAGATGATTTTAAAATGACCTAATTACTTTCAAGAAGCTTTTAATAGTTGTTTAAATAAAAATAAATAATGGTGAGCGAGCGTTGCACCTTTTCAATGGTTATACAAATTTTGGGTTGCACCTCAACTCACACTGGTTGAGTGCCCTCGACTTCTTTCCTAATTACTTTTAGCAACATTTCATTTAAAGAAAAGTGCTTTATTGGTGTGTGTGTGTGTTGCTTTTTTATACAGTTCTTCCGAAGAATAAGCGCATGTGGAAAATGTACGGCCCCCCTGCAATTAACCTTTTTTACATCTGGCCCCGTAAGAATATAGTTGAGTAGCCCTGCTGTAGGACCTCCTCCTAAATCTACGGGTTTATAATACTCTGGCCTTATCATCCCTGTGTGTATTTCCCTGTGTACATCGTGTTATTAAAGAAGAAGAAGAGAAGTTCCGATTGTCTCCTCACCTTTCTTTGAAAATCAAATAAAAATTTCAATTTTGGGTCAGTAACCGAAAGGTTGCTGGTTCAATACCCGAGCCGACAAGGTGAAAAATCTATTGATGTGCCCTTGAGCAAGGCACTTTACCCTAATTTGGTCCAGGGGTGCCATACTACTGTGGCTGACCCTGTAAAACAACACATTTCAATGCATCTATTCGGTGTATGTGACAATAAAACATATTTTTTTTCATAAATGTTTTATCGACAATAAAGTGATCTTATCTCCCACACCCGAGAGTGCCTACACCACTGTGCGACGGACTATATATTAACTATAAAGAAATCCCTTTCAAGGCAAGCATCACTAGTCTTTGTCTGTTGTTTCCTAGTGTTCCATGATCTACAATGGCCACATCTACTGCAGAGCTGCTTCTGGCCACTCTGACAGAGCTGGATAAAGATGAATTGAAGACATTTAAATGGTACCTTAAGCAGCCTGATGGGTTTATCTCCCAGTTGGGCCTTCTCTCCCATCCCCAAAATGCCAGTTAGAGGGTGCTGGCAGAGAGGACATTGTGGACAAGATGGTGGAGACCTACAGCTATGTGACCACTCTGGATATCTCACTGGAGATCCTGAGGAAGATGAAACTCAACAATCTAGCTGAGAAGTTAATGACAGACTGTAAAAAAGGTAATTCAGAATTTTTATATTATTTCTGCTCATAAAGTTAATCATAACAAATGTTTGCCAACATTCATCTGTCTTTTGATGATAGTCAGACAACATTCTTGACAAACTTAATTTATTAGAGGAAAAGGGTCCTATAATGTTAGAGTGCTAACCAGTTAAATCCCCTCCCCTCTTTGTCCTAATGAGATGCCAGTGGTAAGGAAGAAAATGCTGGGAGAACATCCACCATTTCACAACAGGGAGCTTCTGTCCATCCCACCATCAGTGCTGAGACAGGAGGCCATGTTATTTCCCCTGCACTCACTGGCTGCCATATTGATGGTCCAGTTAACATCAACATCCGTGTGAACTCTCCAAGTGCTGGTGAATAATATCATATCATGTTTCATTCTGATTATATTATTGTACACATTTATTACTATTCTATTTCTCTTTCACAATTCAGTTCAAATTGTTATGATGTAAGATGTTTGGGCGGGATGACAATCTTATCCCTTAAGTAATCAGAACGTCATTTCTAATAGGAGAAAATACCTTAGAGCAACAGCATAACTTCGCTTCAGATGAAAACCTCTTATCTACAAAACAGAAACTTTTCTGGAAATTGAAAAAACTGCCATATTTTCCCATTAACGAGCATACAATTATACAACTTCAGAAGCTATTTAGAATACATTTTCTTGGTTTTAGTGTCATGAAATATTCAGAGTACATTGAGGGGATTACTGCTTTCAATAATAATTAAATAAAATAGTTACCATGTTTTCATCCGACAGCGATGATAATCTATAATGAATATGTTACTGTTAGAGTGCTACATAGAAACCTTACTCTTTCTGTTTTAGGAGAGGTTGGTGTTGAGGAATCAGCAGAGAAAACATCTACTAGTCAGGCTGCTTCTCCAGCCAACAGCCTTGAGACTGAAGGCCTTGTTATTGCCCCAGCAAACCCTGCTGTAAACTCTACAGAAGATGGAAAATAATAAGAGACACAAAATAAAAGTGAAATAATTGAATAATTTCTGTTTGAAAAGCTTTTGGTAAATATGTTTTTTTTGCTTGTCTTAAACTGTGGTTGGATTGGATTTGAAACTCATATTTTGAATTCCTTACTAGGTTTCTCAGATGGGTATGTTATGATGTGCCAACAAAAACTAAAATCTAATCTGTGGAAGAACTGTCAACGTGTATTTGATGGAGTGGCTAAGCAAGGCGTTAAAAAACTGCTCAATGAGATCTACACAGAGCTCTACATCAAAGAGGGTGGAAGTGGAGAGGTCGATCTTGAACATGAGGTGAGACAGATCGAGACGGCATCCAGGAAACGACCAAATGTAATAACATTTTTAAAACCTTACCCGTAGAAGACAACCAAATCAGAACTGTGTTAACAAAAGGAGTTGCTGGAATTGGAAAAACAGTATCTGTGCAGAAGTTCATTCTGGATTGGCTGGAAGGGGAAGCAAACCAGGATGTCCAATTCATCTTTCCACTCCCTTTTCGGGAGCTGAATTTAATGACTCGGGAAAAACACAGTTTGGTAGATATTCTTCATGAATGTATCGAAGATGCAAAAGGGATTGAAAAATATTTTCTCAACCGCCTTTTTATGACATTGAAAGGATCAGGAAACAACAGTGAGAGCAAGTACAAAGTTTTGATTGTCCTTGATGGTCTGGATGAGTTTCGCATGCCTCTAGACTTCCAGAGCAAGAATTGGAAGTATGATGTCACAGAGTCAACCTCTGATGTGCTGCTGACGAACCTCATCAAGGGGAATGTGCTTCCCTCTGTCCGCCTGTGGATAACCTCTCGACCAGCTGCATCTAATCAAATTCCTCCTAGGTATGTTGACCTGGTGACAGAGGTACGAGGGTTCAATGACCCACAGAAGGAAGAGTACATCAGGAAGAGAATCAGTGATGAGAACCTGGCCAGCAGAATCATAATATAATAATAATATGCCATTTAGCAGACGCTTTTATCCAAAGCAACTTACAGTCATGCGTGCATACATTTTTGTGTATGGGTGGTCCCGGGGATCGAACCCACTACCCTGGCGTTACAAGTGCCGCGCTCTACCAGCTGAGCTACAGAGGACCACTCACACATAAAGACATCAAGGAGCATTTACATCATGTGCCACATACCAGTCTTCTGTTGGATTTCTGCTACAGTTCTAGAGAAAATGGGCGAAGAAGAGATTAGAGAGATGCCAAAGACCCTAACTCAAATGTACACACAGTTTGTGGTTGTCCAGGCTAAACAGATGAATGTGAAGTATTATGGGAAAAGTGAGACAGATGCTCACTGGAATCCAAAGATCATACTGTCACTAGGAAAATTGGCTTTTCGGCAGCTTGAGAAAGGTCATCAGATTTTCTATGCAGCAGACCTGAAGAAGTGTGGCATTGATATCAGAGAAGCCTCAGTGTACTCAGGAGTGTGCACAGAAATATTTAGTGAGGACTTTGGTTTGTATCAGGAGAAGGTGTACTGCTTTGTGCATCTGAGTATTCAGGAGTTTCTTGCTGCTTTATATGTGTTCCTCATATTCAACAACAACAATGTGAATCTAATGGCGAAACAGCAATCCATCATCAGACAATTGCAGATCATGTTCAGATATAAACCTGCCATCACCATCCACAAGTGTGCAGTGCATAAGGCCTTACAGAGTGAGACTGGACACCTAGACCTTTTTCTCAGTTTCCTTCTTGGTCTATCAGTGGAGTCCAATCAGAATCGTTTACGAGGTCTACTGACACAAACAAGAAGCAATTCACAGAGCAATGACGAAACAGTCAAGTACGTTAAGAAGAAGATCAGCGAGAATTCCTCTCCAGAGAGGTTCATCAATCTTTTCCATTGTCTGAATGAACTGAATGATTATACTCTTGTGGATGAGATCCAAAGCTAGCTGAGCTCAGGAAAACTCTCCAGAGAAGAACTCTCACCTGACCAGTGGTCAGCTCTGGTCTTTGTGTTGCTGACTTCAGAAGAGGACCTGGATGTGTTTGAACTCAAGAAATACTCCAGATCAGAGGAAGGTCTGCTGAAGCTGCTGCCATTGGTCAAAGCCTCTAGAACTGCTAGGTAAGTACATGGATATTTAAATACTAATAATCCGACAGAAATATTATTTTTACACACATTTTTTTAATTCATTACTATTCTCAAATGACTTGATTAATTTAAATAAAATAAAATGTGTCACATTCGCTGAATACAACCGGTATAGACTTTACCGTGAAATTCTAGCGTATAAGCCCTTCCCAACGATTCAGAGTAAAAAATAGTAACGAGGAATAAAATACACAAGAATTAAGCTATATACAGGGAGTACCAGTACCAGATCAATGTGCAGTGGTATGCGGTGACGTAGATATGTACATAAAGGCAGGGTAAAGTGTCTAGGCATCAGGACAGATAATAATGAGAGTAAAAATAAAGAACATAGTAGCAGCAGCATATGATGTGTGAAAGTGTGTGTGATGTGTGTGTATGTAGTGTGTGAATGTGTGTGGATTTTGTGTGAGAGTGTCAGTGTAGTGTATGTGAGTGAGTGAGTGAGTGTGTATATAGTGTGTATACATAGTCTTGTGAGTGTGCATAGAGTCAGTGCAAGATAGGGTCAATGCAGATAGTCCGGGTCACCATTTAATTAACTATTTAGCAGTCTCATGGCTATTTAGAAGTCTTATGGCTTGGGGTCTTAGAAGCTGTCTCGGAGCCTGTTGGTCCGGTACCGTTTGCCGGAAGGTACCAGAGTGAACTGTCTATACAGTTGAAGTCGTACGTTTACATACACCTTAGCCAAATACATTTAAACTCAGTTTTTCACAATTACTGACATTTAATCCTAGTAGAAATTCCCTGTCTTAGGTCAGTTAGGATCACCACTTTATTTTAAGAATGTGAAATGTCAGAATAATAGTAGAGAGAATGATTTATTTCAGCTTTTATTTCTTTCATCACATTCCCAGTGGGTCAGAAGTTTACATATACTCAATTAGTATTTGGTAGCATTGCCTTTAAATTGTTTAACTTGGGTCAAACGTTTCAGGTAGCCTTCCACAAGCTTCCCACAATAAGTTGGGTGAATTTTGGCCCATTCCTCCTGACATAGCTGGTGTAACTGAGTCAGGTTTGTAGGCCTCCTTGCTCGCACACGCTTTTTCAGTTCTGCCCACCAATTTTTTATAGGATTGAGGTCAGGGCTTTGTGATGGCCACTCCAATACCTTGACTTTGTTGTTCTTAAGCCATTTTGCCACAACTTTGGAAGCATGCTTGGGGTCATTGTCCATTTGGAAGACCCATTTGCGACCAAGCTTTAACTTCCTGACTGATGTCTTGAGATGTTGCTTCAATATATCCACATAATTTTCCTTCCTCATGATGCCATCTATTTTGTGAAGTGCACCAGTCCCTCCTGCAGCAAACCACCCCCACAGCATGATGCTGCCACCCCCGTGCTTCACGGTTGGGATGGTGTTCTTCGGCTTGCAAGCATTCCCCTTTTTCCTCCAAACATAACGATGGTCATTATGGCCAAAAAGTTCTATTTTTGTTTCACCAGACCAGAAGATATTTCTCAAAAAAGTACGATCTTTGTCCCCATGTGCAGTTGCAAACCGTAGTCTGGCTTTTTTTATGGCGGTTTTGGAGCAGTGGCTTCTTCCTTGCTGAGCGGCCTTTCAGGTTATGTCGATATAGGACTTGTTTTACTGTGGATATAGGTACTTTTGTACCTGTTTCCTCCAGCATCTTCACAGGGTCCTTTGCTGTTGTTCTGGGATTGATTTGCACTTTTTGCACCAAAGTACGTTCATCTCTAGGAGACAGAACGCGTCTCCTTCCTGAGCGGTATGACGGCTGCGTGGTCCCATGGTGTTTATACTTGTGTACTATTGTTTGTACAAATGAACGTGGTACCTTCAGGCGTTTGGAAATTGCTCCCAAGGATGAACCAGACTTGTGGAGGTCTACAATTATTTT